GCAGAATGCGATAGGTATGCTAGGGAAAGATTTAATACTTTCGAAGGAGAGGACATAACCAAAACACTCCCCAGGATAAAATGGTCCACAATCCTGGGGTTTGTGAATAGGTCCAATAGGTTTATGCAGGACTCGTGAGCCGAACAGGTCCCGGACCTTTTAGGGATGGGGTACGGGCCTACTCAGGCTTTTAACCCCTCGGGTCCTGGTCGCCCGCCCTGTGTAATATATATATATAGTCCAAAGAAATAAATTCACCAAATTGCACGTATGGAATAGTAATATCGTGTGGAGGCGATACGTGCCCGATAATTATATTTCAAATGAAATCAAGGCGCTAAGAAATACTAAACCAGCTCAAACCGTTGGTCATAAAAGTTGGCGAAAAGAAAAAGCCATTGAAACTTGTGTGACGGAACTTTTATTTTGATTCTGACATGACTTTGATTATTTGCATATTAAATGAGATTGAGATTGAGAGAAAGGGTGAGAGAAAGAGGACAGACAGAGAGAGAGAGAGAGAGTGAGAGAGAGAGAGAGAGAGAGAGAGATTGAACTGCTACGATAAGATCGAGTTTTGCAGAGAGAATAGCTGTATCGTTAGCCAAGGTATGCTTGGATGAGTATGAACGAGTGTTGAGGGAAGTCCTGTGAACATGCCCGAAAGTAAGGGACCTAGGATCTTCCCTTGAGGAACACCAAATAAGAGAGAATGGATCTTCGAGGTTGAGGTTAGGAAGAAACAATCTAGTACATAGAATTCTAAAATGAGGTAGCTTATGAAAATTTTTCAATGAAATAAAATGAATTTCAATAAAGTTTAAATGAAATATTTTATTATATGAGATTTTAGCGATAAAAAGGGATACGAGGCAAACATTAGTTAGAAACCTCTTCCCTGATCAAATTCTCGTAAGTAAAGTATTATTAGTGAACAAAATCGGCCAATAATTTGTCTGAGATAGTCTTATCACAAATTATGACAGGGTTCCATCTTGAAATTAATTCCGAGCCGTTAAACGCATACGAGACTGAGAAACAGCTGTCCAACGTTCCATTTACGCTCATCAAACTTAATTGTCGTAATTATTAACTATGTGTGGAAGCCAACCGGCAAATTCGGATGTCAAACGGGTAATAAAATTTCGAGAGAGAGAAAAAAGGGGGTCGTAAAAGCCGGATTGGTCCGATTGCTAGGGGCGCTAATGTAAATTTTGGAGTTATCACCTGAAAAATATCTTCATTTGGCCTGACCGACTCCCCAAAGCGGCTTTTCGAAAAGGGCTAGATAGAACGCCTCCCTAATGAATTAATGGGACTTGAGCCATAAAAAGTAAAGAAAGTCATAAAAAATTTTTACGGTTTATCGATAAAAATTAGAAATCCAAGGATTAACAAAAATAATTGGTACCAAAAACAGGAATAAAGCTATGAACCATTTATTTTATTTTTATAACGTTTTTATCGATTCACCACTGTTTAAAAGTAAATTCCTGCAACATAATGTAATGGAACCGTAGAATTTAATTTATACAATTGTTGGGATTGGGAATATGGCATTCTGCGATTAATTATTATTTAAAAAAATATGATGGGAAAAACGAGCATAAAACTTGATTTTTAATAAACATGTACAATAATATATTTAACATTTTTATGCAATGTAGAATTAGAATATAATGTCTTTTAAATTAAAATCACGGATGTATTTATAGTTCTGTATCACTTATCACTCTTTCTCACTTTCTCCCGCTCACTCTCTCTATCTCTCTCCCTTTTTTTCTCTCTCTCTCGCTCTCTCCCTCTCCCTCTCTCTTGTAATTGTGCCTCTTACAGATCCATAAATATTATCTGTACGTTAGGAAAAATTATAGACAAAATAGTGTTTTTACAACTTAATATCTTGAATCTAAATATATAATTTATCCATATCAATCCATATCTATAGATCAGCACATAGCAAGAAAACTGATTTTATTGTGATGTCTGATGAAATAAGAGAAAACACAGATAACAGTAAAATGATCATCATGACTCGAGTTGACTGTAGACATGATTTTAACAGTATAAATCACAAAATTTTAATAGCAATCCTGAAATCAATAAATTTATCCGATAATGTAATTAACTGGTTTCACACTTATTTAACAAACGTAAGTCAGATGATAAAAAACACAGGTTGGAAAAGTTTCTGAAGAAATATTCTTTACTCACAGGTCTCCTCCACAAGGGTCTACTTTGTCAGCGTTGTTGTTCTCGACATATTAATAGAATATATCAAGCTTTCCATTGTTGTAAAGTTAAGTTACGTGCAGATGATCTAAGTGATTATATCGATGCAAAAGTTAATAATATTATCGACCAAATTGACAAAATAAATGCAGACCTTGTAAGACTGGCAGACTGGAGTAATACCATATGTTAGCGTTAAACCGGACTAAATACAAAGCAATAATTTTTGGCCAAAGTAAATTATTTAAAAAATTGAACCTTGACGGAGTAAATAAAATAAAAATTGATAACATATTTTGAAAACATGAGAAAAATGTAAAAATGTTTGCGTTTAACGCTTACCAAGAATCTATCATGGGATATACATATGTTAAAAATTAACAATCAAACCTTACATAGATTTAATAAATTATTATGTTTTGCAAAATGCTATGTAAATATTTAAAAAAAAACTCGTATAAACTCTACTCTTTCAACACATTACTTATGGTCTAGGAGTACTTTGTGATTTAAACCGTACACAAATAAAAAAATTATAAGTCAGGTTTATCAGATATATTCTGAACGTGATTTCAATCTCTCATGTAAAGTTTTTAAAATTTTCAAAGTTCAAAAACCAAAATATCTATTTGTGAAATTTAAGTACATACCTTAGATTCATGAAAGAGCTACTACCGTCTGCGAGTCGTTAAGGATAAAATCAACACTTTTAATAGGTCATACTCAGTAAACGATGCAATAACATTTTGGTGAATCTCTACACAAATAAAACGATGTAAAAATATCAGAGATTTCCAGAATAGTCTTAAAAATCACTTCTTATCAAGTTATGATTTATGCTAAAAATTCAATGCTTTAAAGTTCTTTCAGTGTTTTAGTTTTTTTATACCACTATTTAGGGACTTGAAGTTGTATTTCTCGATTTGTATTGAGAATTTATTATTCATGATTTGTACTGAATTGTATTAAAAAAGTATTTTTGTTCACTTAATTTATTTAGTAATTTACTCGCTCTTCCTCTCCATCTCTCCCTTCCTCACTCTAGCTCTTTCTATTTCTGTTTATCTCTCTCTCTCTCTCTCTCTCTCTCTCTCTTTCACTCTCTCCCACTAGCTCTTTCTATTTCTCTTTATCTATCTAACTCTCTCTCATCTTCTTTTTCTCTTTTTCTATTTACCACTCTCTAACTCTATTTATTTATCAACCAACTGTCTCTTTCATCCTCCCTACCTATATATTTCTCTTTCTATCTCTCTCACTTTCTATCTAGCTCTCTTCCCCCCCTCTCTCTCTCGTAAGCTCGCGTTTTCTGTTCAGTTGATGTGTGTAAGAGTTCTCAAAATTGTTTAAATTCTGCAAAACCTCAATCAATAAATTTCTCTCTCTTTCTCCCTGTCTGTCTGTCTCCTTCTCTCACTCTCTCTCTCTCTCTCTCTCTCTCTCTCTCTCTCTCTATCTATCTATCTATCTCTCTCTCTCTCTCTCTCTCTCTCTCTCTCTCTCTCTCTGTGTCTCTCGTAAGCTTGCTCTTTCTGTTCAGTTGTTGTGTGTAAGAATTCTCAAAATTGTCAAAATTCTGTAAACCCTCAATCAATAAATCTCTCTCTCGCTCTCTCTCTCTCTCTCGCTCTCTCTCTCTCTCTCTCTCCCTCTCTTATTCTCTCTTTCTCTTTCTCTCCCTTTCTCTATCCCTCTCTCTTTCTCTTTTCTTTTCTCACTCTCTTCTCTATAACTCTTTTTCGAGAATCCCTATACGCATAAAACTATGTAAAAATATCAAAAATCTCCAGAATGGTCTTAAAAATCACCTCTTATCAAATTATGATTGACGCTAAAAATTCACTGCCATATATTTAACTTTTGTTGTTGTTTTTTTAGTTTTTTATATTACTAATAAGTGACTCGAAGTTTTATTTCTAGATTTATATTAGAAATTTAGAACTCATAATTTATACTGAATTGTATTAAAAAAGAATTTTTGTTCGCTTAATTTATTTAGTAATTTTCTTTTTAATTACTCAGTTATACTGTACATTAGAATATTTATTTCAATAGGAAATTTGAAGTCAATACATACGTAGTTCAATGTAAAAGGAATAGATGCAACATATTGACCACAAAAATAAGGTTATTCGAAGTAATTAATGTGTAATAAATTAGAAGTACAGTAAAATTAGTAACCATTGTATTTCACAGTAAAAATGGTCCTTGAGACCAAATCTTGTGTGATTGATCAATAAAGCGTTTATCATCATCATCCCACTTTCTATAATCTCAATGTTCTGTGTTTTTATCCCTCTCCCCGGTAATTTTTCTATTTATCTACCCAACCTATAACCTTTTAATAAAGAAGCTAAAGATATAGGCACAGGGTTCGAATTCAGCGGCAGACCCGACATTCAAATAGTAGTAGTAACAATTATTGATAAGCAGTCAATGCTATAATTTCATATTAAGAAACTGTCAGAGATTAGGCAAATCTTTTACTTTCTCAATAAATATAACTATTCAAAAATCGTGAGATGCGGTCTGGTGTGATCTAGGTTTCAGAAAAACATTTTCTTTATCGTGCCAACGTTTCGATCTTTATTGAGATCATCTTCTATAACTTTCTTTTAGCATTTATACACTGAGAGGCAAAAGTGGCCAATATTTTTAATTATATCTTAGACAATCATCCATTGATTATCTTACAATAATATGTTATAAGAAAAACAATTATAATATATGTTTATTTTTGGAACTTGTTAGTTTCTCTCATAGACGTTTGGTTCTGGTTTATTTGTTCAAAGGACACTTTCAAGGCATTTCTAGGAAGAACAAGAAAATTAATTAAACAAATAAAGAAATATATATATAAAATTAAATACATAAAAATAATATCTTTAACAATTAGAAAATGTATTTTGGGCGAGTACAACTTTCAACGCGAGTTTGTCGTGAAGGGTAGCCATTGTGCGTGTGCGTGGGCGTGGCGGGTCTCGCAGGATCTCCATTCACTCCTCTCCTTCCGTCATTTCGTACTAAATCCAACGGGCCTCCTCTTTCGCCTCCTCAGCTTGAAATAAAACAGAAACACACTGCATTTAAAATAGTAAAACAAAGTCCTTCGATTAAGCATTTCATTAGCAAGTCCAAAGTTTAAAACTATTTCAGAAATTGACAATTTATTTTTTGACTGCTGGCTACTTACGTAACAATTTATTATTTGTCTGACTTATATCCATTAAATTTTTCCAAATAACTAACATGTAAATTTTAAGTACATAGAAAATATCAATCAAATCGCTATGAAATATAAATAATCTAATTTTAATTACTAATTGAATATTATTTAAAAAATTGTTGTTAAAAAGTAAATAGTTTATAAATTATCTGTAATTTTAAGAATACTGATTACGACAATATAAGCATTAAATAAAGTTTAGTTTCTTCGTTTCCGATAATTTAGTCTGTCAGACGGAAGGACTTCTTTTTGTCAATTAAAAATTAACCCATAATCGAATGGTAATTTTGAAAATTTTTCTTGAAAAGAATTGATTAAAGCATCTTTCCTTGTCTTGTACTCAAAATTCTTCACTTTTCTCAAGGACGACCTCGTTGTTAATCTGTAGAATATCCGAGCTGAAATATTTCGAGGCGGATGGGTTCCAGAAAAACGTTATGCAATTTAGAAAACAACCATCATAGGTTTTGAGAGAGAAAACAAGCTGTTCAGGATTTAAAAAAAAAGTTATATGACCCAACCTGGACCTAAATAGGAAAATTAAAATATTTTTAATTTGATATTTTAAATCGGATTCTTATAAACATATGTTTGCAAAACTTTTCTCTCACTCACACAACCAATCAATCTTTCCCTCGAATGATAAACATTTATATTTTAATTTAATATTTATCTTTGCTTGGTTTTCTGCTTGTCTCTATGTCTCTCGCTCACTCAACTCAATCTCCTACTTCTGTCTGTCTGTCTGTCTGTCTGTCTCTCTCTCTCTTTCTCTCTCTCTCTCTCTCTCTCTCTCTCTCTCTCTCCCTCTCTCTCCTCTTTCTCTCTCACTCAAAGCAAAATACACAATAAAATAAATTTGAAAGATAATCATACTCCTTATTTCTCTTTCTCATTTTTTCTCTCTCTTTCTTTCTCCCACTTTCTTTCACCTTCACTCTCTCTTTATTTTCTACTCTCTCTATGTTTCTATCGCTCTTTCTGACAAACACTAATCTGTTTCTTCTCTTGCCCGCTTCTATATCTTCCTTCCTACCAATATATTTCTATTTCTCTCTCCTTCGCTCTCTCTCTCTCTCTCTCTCTCCCTTTCCTTCGCTCTCTCTCTCTCTCACTCTCTCTCTCTTTCCTTTTATCTCTCTCTCTTTCCTTCTATCTCTCTCTCTCTCTTTCTCTCTTTCTTGCTCTCTTTCTTTCTTTTAACTCTCTCTATGTTTCCATCGCTCTTTCTGACTATCACTAACTGTCTTACTATTTAACTACTTTGTACACCATGGTTATTCATAAGAGTCAATTTCACTAAATTTCTATTTCAGTATCTCATCACTCTTTCTCACTTTCACTCTCTCACACTCTCTCTCTCTCTCTTTCTCTCTTTCTTATTTATCTATCTATTATATATCTATCTTGCTTTCTTTCTTTGTGTTTGTCTATCTATCTTCCTTTCAGTCTATGTCTTTCTCAATTACTCTCTCACCCTTCCTATAATCTCAAGGTTCTGAATTATCCTATCTCTACCCGCTAATGTTGTATCTACCAAACTATCATTAACTGTCCCAGCATTTTGTGAGTAAATGTATAAAGTGTTGGAAAATTTTTTTTTTCTTGTGAAGAGATTTTGTTTTTGTCCAATCTATGTGCTTTCTTTAAAAAATGTATGTGTCAGTAACTGTAAAATCAGTACCGTAATTTCATCTAGGTAATTCCGGTAGTACTTGTTCAGCATTTAATTCGAGTTAGCTGGCTAGAAAATCATATTAATCTAGCGTATTTCTTATTTTAAGATAATTAAAGCGGTTTGACTATTAACGATAACCTCAAGTGGAAGGAACTTAGGTATAAGTTTCATAGATTGATATAACGATTAAGTGTTGGTTGAGATAAAAGATAATCGGGGGGAGGTTAATCTAGAACTACCGTTTTTATGAAAACGAGCAAATAGTTCTTGATGTAATGTGAAATTTTCATAATTTTCCGATTTATCCCTCATCGTAAAATCCATACGAGTTGGAGTTGGGCCGATTAGATATGCTGATGCGACAATAACAGTCAAAGACTGAACCCACTTAAGGACGCCCTATTTCTTCCTTCCCGAGGGCTACTTTTCGGCGTGTTAACGTCAAAACTGTGAATTGGATTTCATTCCGATCCTTATCAATCGACCGAATCACCGAGCGCGGGACACCTGTGAACCAATTCAAAAACGGAAAAAACCCCGAGCCAAGAAGAAGCGCTCCCCAAAAAAAGACATTTTCTATTTTATTTACTGACGCCGAGGCTGGGTGGCCCTCAATTAAAGGTTTCGGTGGCTCATCCGAGCAGGATGTAATAAATCCAGTTTGTAGAGGGGGTCGATAAGACCCCTTGGATTGGAGACCCGATCCTCCCTGGAATGTAGAACACAATGGCTTCAACATGGCTACCACAAGTTTAAGTCCATCGATCCATACAAAAACACTGTAAACCACGTTTTAAAAGGGTTATTTAAAAAAACAAAATTTTAAGAAAGAGGAAGGATTACCGCTTAGGTTTCGTCAACTACACTAATTACAATATACATAATTATGTTATGACCTTTCATTAAAATATTATAATTGTTGATAGTTATCATTCAAAGATTTTTTGATTATTGAAAAGTAACAAATACATTTACCCGGGTATAGAGGTATTAACGGTCTTTGTGCTAACCCTGTTAACTCGGTTAGGTCCAGTTAGATCGAGAAAAATTATGAGGTAGACTTGTATTTCTTCGATCTAACAGGCCAGGGCCAATGTTAGATGTTAAGTCGAAAATGTAGTCTCATTGCTATCCGTTAGGGCGTATGTAACTAACATGGCAGCCATAAATTTAACAGCTGTTTTTTGTTTACGCGTATTTTTATTCTCAAATACGGATTAATTAAGTCAGAACTAATGTCAAAAACACTTCTTTTGTTAATTTCTGACCTGTCCTTATATAACCGGTCATTCATAAAAGGTACATCCCCTATCCTATAAAGTTGTTGGCTGTTAGACGTTAGGTTACAAGTTAGGTATGTCGGCACGAATTGAAGCGTATCATTTGTTAATACTTTTCGAGTTCATAGCATTTTGTATGAAAGAATTGATTAATTTTTTTTTATTAACTTCTGGCATCATACAACTTAACACAAAAGAAAACCAGAACAAACAACAACAAGCCTTCAAGGACTGTTGTAGGTTTATTTTTGGTTCTGCAGCATTGCGGAAAAATTAACGTTTACGTGCTAAGAAAAGAAGAGGGCGTTCACGATCTTACTGGACTAACTCTATTCGAGTTAACACGAATTTACATTTTACAAACTTCGTGAATACCCCTTATATCCCCCATCGACGCTCTTGTATACAACCCGACATTCACGCTAATAAATGCATTCTTACGAAAGATTGAAAACAGAATACATTTATCGTCAAACTATTTATATAATAATCTGATTAACTGCAAAACAAATGCTTGATGTAGAAAATATCCAAAGATTCGTACTGCCGTACTCGACCCCAATTGTCGTATTCCAACTCGCTCTCTATAGGGAGCAGAGGAATGATACGCTTCAATTACGTGGGCATTTGGCTGCATGTCGGACACATCCGCCCAAAAATAAGGTTAAGTCAACCACGTATGGCCAATTCTCATTTCTGGTTACGATGATCGTTCTTATCTGGTTTAGCCTCACTGGGGGTGACACCTACTGATTGTGCTCTTGATAGCGAGAATTAAATGAATTCTGTATACTTTAGGTTATGAACAAGAAAAATATCAACAAAAAAAATTCACAACCGCAAAACCAAATCAATGCTACATAAGTTCATGTGTTTAAATTTAAAAGTTAAGTTAACTTTTATTAGTTTATTGGTTATCGTTTCCGCTTTATTTTCGCTGTTTTTAAGTTGGTAGAAAGAGATAAAATTTAGATTTGGATTTAAATTTTCTTCAACGTTGTGCGTTTAAAGTTGTCCTGAGTTAAGACTTTATAGAAAATAAAATTGTAGTGGTCAATTTAATTAAATACATTTTTTCCCATTTAAATGGAAGCTTGTTATTTTAATGTCCTCAAGGTACAATTCGTTTATTTTGTTGGCAATTTGTTCTATGGATTAATGCCATTTCTTCTATTTTTGACTTTCGTCTTAATAATTTTACTTACTTTAGATACAATCAGTAAATTGTAATAGGTTTTATGATTTATAGAGTTTTTCCTTATTTAAGTTACTTTTTAAAAATCGTTACATCCACACGCAGGGCACTAAAGATTGCACGGAACGATAAACTTAACTAGACAAAATAACTGAAATAAAAAGAATTTGGAATTCACATGAAAAATACTATGTTTAATATTTTTACGAGCTTGAAAGTATAAAAGAAATACACCCAACTGTTAGTATAATTTCTTTTCGAATTATTTGCCCAGCAGGTTTTGCGAAAGGAGGCGAACGCTTCCCAACAACAATTTACGGCTCCGTGAAGTCACGTAAAGCGGCTTAATCCAGAATTCACGCCCGGCTCACGATCCGAGATTAATTGAGAGGCCAGCGCTTATCCGTGGAAATGAAAATAGATGCTCGGGATCTTAGGGATGGATGAATGAAGTTGCCAGTGGTAGAAACGAAAGGTCAATGCGCCTGGGACCCCGGGGGCACGTCGAGGGAAGGCCTTCCACTGTGAAAAATGTCCACGCCCTGCTGATAAATTGCCTTCGTCGGATGATTTACTGAGGGCGACCGTCACGAATAAGAACAAATAAAGAAAACCGGAAGATCGAGAAGGCAGTAGCTGATTTTTGGAATTTTTAATCTTACCTCTTGGGCGTTCCTAATTTAGCCGTTGTTCGTCTTTTTTATGAAGAAACGTTCCGATTTTCAAATTCAAATTTGACCATCGATTCCAAATCACACTTCCTGATATGACGATCAATCAGAATGTTGCAACTAGTAAAGTAAAGCAATTCCTGTTTTGTGTAACTACCCTTTGCGTGTCACGGACGAGACGTCAAACAAATTTGCAATACATCTTTCATACTATTTTCGTTTAAAAAACCATGGGCTACGCTGGGATTCGAACCCAGGACCGCAGCGTAGCAAATAAGAGTCGGGCAGCCTAACCACCGCGGTCCCCGTGCTGCAAATAGAGCCCAGTATTATATCGTAATCTAGGTTTTCAGCCTTAATAAAAATAATAATAACTTTCCTCTCTGCCCAATCGATGTAATCGTTTATGTTTAAATAATTATCGAACGAAATTGGGCGGCAAGATGGAAAGTCTACAGAGATTGAATCAAACAAATTAAGCCAGTTGTCCATCAATGGCCAACTGAGGAACTTGAGAGAAAAGAACTTGTGGTTTTCTCTCGATTGCGAATAGGTCACATCAGACTAATCCATAAAAGGCTTTTGATAGGCAACAACTTTCCAACTTGTCCTCGAAATATGCAAAGTGGAAAACGTATCATTTTGATGTAAAACTTATTTTTGTCGACTGTTCAACTTTGCAACCCTTTAGGCAAAGGCTCAACCTTTCGAGTATTTAAAGGAGTTACTAAGTCCTCAGTATTTATTTCAAAGAGCATTTTCACCTTTGTTAAATTTATTGGAATTTATAATGAGATTTAAGCCTTTTCCCAAAATACCTTTGAATGTTTGTCTGCTAGTGTTGATGACAGTTCTGCGAGCAAGATTTCTTTATTTTTTCAATTATTTTTGAGCATGCCGGAGCGAAAAATGAAATAAAAGAAAATACAAATTGCAGGGTAATAAACGACAATGCCCAAAATTTCAATTTAAATAAGAAAAGATAGCTCCGTCCAAAAAGTGTTGTGTTTTGGTTTTTATTATTGTTAAACAGCATTAGTTTATTTACAGTATTTGAAAGGAAGAATAAAAGGATAACGTTGAGCCTCATGTTGAGGCTCTTGTTGTCTGACTCCATTATTATTATTATTATTTGCCATACAAGCCTATGCGAAATGATTAAATTATGGAACAAAATTTGAAAATTACAATTAAAGAATAGGAATACATTTTATAATTTAAAATGGGCTTTTTGCATACATTAGGCATTCCAAATCAAGTATTTTAAAAGGATAAATTAATGCTTTTGATGGAAATAGGATAAATTAGTTTATGAATGAATGTTTTGAGTCAGAGCTTTATAGAACCCAAAAGGGAAGGTGCTAATCTAAGATAGAAGGTTTAAATATTACGAGGTGAAAAGACTTTAGCCGTAAAACGCCCGTAAAAATAATATTAATTCCATTATATTTAGTGGTCTATTGACCAAATTACTTTTTTAAATTAATTAATCTTTTTATATAAGGTTTTGGTTGTAATGAAACAGTCAGTGTCACGACCGGGATTCGAACCAACGACCTTCGGCTAAATAAGCCGCTGCTGTACCACTTGACCTATCGTGACTTCGATCCACTCGCACACCAACTCCCCATCTCAACCTACAACCTTTCCTGATTACTCGACATTTGAAAATGGCTAAAAGAAGGGAAAATTGGAAAGGTTGTAGGTTGGGATGGGGAGTTGGTGCCCGAGTAGATCGAAGTCACGATAGCTCAAGTGATAGAGCAGCGGCGTATCAAGCCGAAGATCGTGGGTTCGAATCCCGCTCGTGCCATTGACTTTTTTATCTCAACTGAAAACCTTAATTAATTTTAATAATTATATTTTTTTCTCAAATAGCCTATAATAAATGATTCAATCAATATAATCAAGATCTGTTGAACAACTTGTGTCTTGGACCTAATAAAAATACTCTATTTTGACTATAAAGCCTGGAACGAGATTTACGACAGTACTACCAGAATTTCAACAGGGGACCAACCTATTCATTGATTAATATGAACACCTTAAAGGTAAACTGCGTCTGTATGATATTGTGTATCGCGACCATTCACCTTTTTTGCAATTTCCATCACCGTCTAGAGCTGAAAGACCCCTGAGTGTTTACTTCTCGCTTTGGAGTAAGAATCTCATCCTGCATCAATATCAATCATGTCCCCCTGTATCTTCTTTTCCCTGGACAGGCTTGTTTCTGCTCCTCCGAGTCTGTACATATGCCTCTAGAGTCTGCCAATTATTTCTACATGCTTTAGCAATTTTGACGTTAATTTTTGCGATGGTCCTTCAATGGACTTTTGTACATACCTCTATGCTGGAATACATTCCTATTGAACCGGGTCGTATTTTTAATCCATTGGATGATGAATACACCTTTTTTGGAAATTTAGTATGCGAAATTGTCAGGGCCGATAGGTTTCTTTTTATTGAACTGCTTTCGACCAATTTGTCCCGCAATTCGTCGCCCCTCAATTCTACCCAATTTTTGGCATGGCATCTGTTTTTGAAGGTAATAAACAACTTTATGATTTCTCAGGCAGTGCTCAATTGCCAACCCCCCCCTAAATACAATTAAATATGTAAATTCATGCAGTGACCAAAATCAATTATCAATCTTTCAATAAATCTCATCTCTAGGCCATCGATTTGTTACTGTTGGAAAACTATAAAGAAAAACTAATGTTCAATCCTTTCTTCAATGATGTTTTTGATCAATGAGTTTCCTGATCACATATTTCTTGATTCTTTCTTCTTTCATCTTTCCTACTTCTTTCTTTCCTGATCCCTTATTTTCTATATTTTAAGTTGATTTAAATTTAGTTTAGATAAAGCAATTAAAAACTCGAAATTATAATAAATAATAACTTTTAAAAAATTGGATGTACCAACAGATCTCTGATTCTAATTATAGTATGAATCAAATTCGAATATTTCCTTATGAAATAATGGGTTTAATTGTTCACTCTAGTAACTATTATACATATCGTTAGTTATCCATGAGAAAGCTAGCGCTTTTAAAGTCCGCTGACATCCGCTGTTGTATTTTTCTCACAATTTATTTATGTTAAAATTATCTAAACTCTTGTCAAAGATCTATCATTTTTCTAAGTTTTTTTTTTTCAAATTAAGAACAATCCGTTCTAGAAAACAGAATATATATATACAGGGTGTCCCAGTTCGTTCTAACGAAACTCAGGTAATTGATTCTACTCTTCGTTTGGAGCAAAAAATGCTCAGGACAAAATTTTCGGAAAGTTCTCTATTTTGAAGACATTCGTCAATTTTTCAACTTTTCACTACCTTACCATATAAAAACGCTTACAACTTCCAAAATGTTGAGACTACAACAAATTCAATTACACCATTTGAAAGAACTTGAAGAAAGAATTTTACAATTTGTAAGCAAATTTTCACGGTTATTTAGCTGTTCAATTAAATGAAAAAGTATCCATTTTTCAGTAGTGTTAAAAAAAATTATTTGGTCTATTAAAACTGATATTTTTATTTTATTTTTCATAATATACTACGCATACATAGATGGAGAATTTACGAAAAATTGAATCGCTAATTTTTGACAACAACCTACACTTTAGGCAAAATAGTACAACTTTTTTGCTGTATGAAGAATTATTTATCTGGTTAAGGATGATTTTAAAAACTAGCTACGATTGTAAACACTTTAAAGTTCAATAACGAAAAATTTAATTATCTTAATGTTACGTATAGTTTTAGAGAAAAAAGTACTGAGATGTGAAAAATACAAGTTTTCAGGAGACACGATTTTCGGATCGAGCTTGAATTTTTCCTCTTACCGCCCAATTCACGTCATAAAAACTGTACACATTGTAAAAAACTGTACACGCCAAATTCATCAAAACAAGATACAAGAAAATGACTGATTTGCAAACTTCAAAAATTGTTTGAATTACGTTTAAACCTCAGAATCTCATGGAACTATTTTTATTTTGTACAAAAAAAGTTTGTATTTTAACAAATAAAATTTTTTTAAATTTGTTAATAATGTTATAAATTTTAAATTTGTTCGAAAAACGGTCGCTACTCATTTGATTAAGAGATATTTGAAAATTAAAAATGATTAAAATAAATGTTTATCGTCTTAATTATCAGGTTGTGTTTATCATATTAGCTTAATTTTATTGAATATCGATTTACTCCATATCTTTATTTTTTAAAAATTTGTGTAATATTCCAGAAGTAATCCACGCCGGGGATCTGTCATCTTCGATGGAATCACTCTCTTACGACAGTTCTGCGACTTCGCCCAGCATCCCGCAGCAAAGGACGAAGAGAATGAGGACCTCTTTTAAACACCACCAGCTCCGTACGATGAAGTCCTACTTCGCAATCAACCAAAATCCCGACGCCAAAGACCTCAAACAACTAGCTCAGAAAACCGGCCTTTCAAAAAGAGTTCTTCAGGTCAGTATGTTTTTAATATGTTGTTATTGTAATTAAAATTTAATATGAATAAATCAAATTTTTTCGTAAAATTGAATTATTCATCAAGACGGGATACATGAAATTTCATTGGCTTAACTCGTCCTGCTGAAAACAGAGCAAAAAAGGAGTCACAGTTTAAAATGAAGGAATACATACTTTAATTATTTTTAAAGAATATGTCATACGACCGGAAATGGTTTAGAATCATGGCCGGATATTTACAGCATCCCAAATTAGGGTAGAACTTGTAGCTCGACCTGTTATAAATTACGCTACACACCATTGAAGAAAAAAACCGTTTAACAGCAAGAAGGCTAATTTTCATTATTGGCATGTTTAATATTTACATCATATAATAAGAAGAAGACGTCTTTTCAACCTATTTAAGCCTCCGTTAATGGAAAGTAGCAGAGTAGGTAGCCAATTACTATAAACATATATATATACAAAAGGAAGCCAAAAATTGACCAAAATAACCTCATTTCGGATATATCCCAACATCACCGTTGAATGTTGATTATTTATAGGAATTTAAATTCCAGAGGTAGGAAGCATTACACCCCTTTACGCCCTTCATTTAACAATTGTAAATATATTTCATCAATGTTTCACGGATGAGAATGGGGATAGAATTTGGCCCGATGAAGACGTCGAATTCTTCGGCAATTAAAGACAAAAATTCAATTAGAGCGTCTTGGCTCTCTGAGGAATTTCATCGAGCGATAAAAGTCTTCATGCCTTTATCAGATGGCGTTATTTGTCGCGTGTAGTCGAGAGAATCGCGTCTCTTAATAAGCCAAGCCTCTTAATTGCGTATGTAATTCTAATTTCCATCGGCCTCCTCGTTTCCAAAAGCATGAATTATTCAGGCGATTCCAATTGTACGGATGCCTTGTCTTTCTTGTTCAATAAACTGAGGTGGTTCATTAAAAGCTCAGCTCCTTCACTGCTCGTTCCAGTTTGAACAGATATTTCAAACGATGAATGTTTTTGCCGGGATGAACCCGTACCATGAATAAGATTTGAGTGTACTAATTTTGTTTTGAGCTTGAAATCAACCACTAAAATACTCCATGTCTAATAACTACCAGACGTATGCTGAATTTTGTCACTTTGTAGTAAGTTGAAGTACATCAACTTCGTATATATATATATATATATATATATATATATATAACACATATGCCTCTAGAGTCTGCCAATTATTTCTACATGCTTTAGCAATTTTGACGTTAATTTTTGCGATGGTCCTTCAATTGACTTTTGTACATACCTCTAGGCTGGAATACATTCCTATTGAACCGGGTCGTATTTTTAATCCATTGGATGATGAATACACCTTTTTTGGAAATTTAGTATGCGAAATTATCAGGGCCGATAGGTTTCTTTTTATTGAACTGCTTTCGACCAATTTGTCCCGCAATTCGTCGCCCCTCAATTATACCCAATTTTTTTCGTATTTTCCTCAATGTCTGACAGGGCCTTTATGCAATCCCAAACAACTATGGTCTTTACTGCCTATCGGATTGGCTTTAGTTCTGCCTGGCTGTTATTTTTGGCATGGCATCTGTTTTTGAAGGTAATAAACAACTTTATGATTTCTCAGGCAGTGCTCAATTGCCAACNATATATAGATTTTGTCCCTGATCATTTCTTTGGATAGTTTAAAAATATCCTTACCAATTCTTGTTTTCCATTCTCCCTATTTTGAAAAGCATCTAATGATTCGTAAATTTCACAAAGCCCTTCGAACACGCATAAATCCGTATGACAGACTTTGAACAAACAACGACAACTAATCCATTATTCATTTCGAATCAAATTAAATCGTACCGAATCGAAGGGCTGACGCGTTAATCTGAAATATCATTTCAATTATTATGAAACCAGCCCGTAGCCATTATTCAATGGAGTCTAATGTAAATATATAAACGCATAATTACTTTTTTTTTCATTTTTTCATTTTTTTTTCTAAATCTTGAGCACCTACAAGTCGTGAAACGACCAACTCGTATAAGTAACCTTTCCTGTGTATGCTAAACATCCGTTTAACAAAATGATTATCTAAATCAAGAAATCCTTCAAACTGAAAACGAATATTATGAAATCACTTTTATAAATTTGACCTATATTGAAGTTATTTTTATTCAATCAACTTTGAAATCGATTTTTTTTATCCTGTACAGGATAATATAATGAACTGAAGATTTGTTATCGTATGCAGATATTTATGTAAGCTTTTTATACAGCTAAATGTATTTAATTATACTGTGCTGATTGTTTATTGGAAAAAATGTCTGGCTAATGTTTCGATCCGGCCCGGAGGTTCAAACCAATGCATTAGCTTCGACTGCAGTAGGAGGTAAACTAGATTTTTTTTAATTAAAAAAGCTCTGTATTGTTTAATGAATGCAAAGTGCAAAGAATTGGAGCAAATATAAAAAAGGGTGGAAGAAAGCGGGAGTATTTTTTCCAATTTCCGAATTGCTTAAAATTTTTCTTGAGTATTAAGTTTTGTAAAGTTTTATTCTTATAATTGTTACTAATAAAGACAGAAAGGGCGAAGTTTATCTCTCATACAGAGAAATTATTTCCTGTCGTTTATTCGAAATTAGAACTTTGTAATGGGGGACCGCGGTAGCCGAGTGGTTAACGTGAGAGACTCTCGGCTCATAGACGCCGCGGTCGTGGGTTCGATTCCCACCGTCGCCTCTGGCCCTTCACGAAACCCCCCCCCCCAATATGAATACGCATACAAGAATTTGTCACCATGGTTAATATGCATAGATCATAAGGCAAAAAAAAAAAAAAACTTTGTAATGTTGGGTATTTATTGTGTTGATATGGGTTCAGGTAATATCGCTCTCGACCATCCACGGGGGTGGTATTAACGAATGGTAAGGGTTCAGGGCGAATAACCGAATTATTACGTCCCTTAAGAATTTTTCCCTGTTCCAGGTCTGGTTCCAGAACGCGAGGGCGAAGTGGAGGAGGAACCTGATGCGCCAAGAAGGAGGCGGCAATGCCGGTTGTCCGCAGGCGCCGCTCATCGTGACAGAGACGGTCACCTCGCTGGAAGACCTCCAGCATCAGCAAGGGCTCGCATTTTCAGACATGTACTGATGAGATTTGACACATTTCTGAATCGATTTCCTCCCGTTGAAGAGGTTTCTTTGCTCATTCAACTAAGAGAACCCCTTAGAGACAATCCTCAGATGAAAATATGTGACATATGTAGTCCTCTCTTTAAGTACGACTACGGGGTAAAGTAAAAGGATGCTTTTACAAAAAATTTAAGATTCGCTCATCCTCAAATGAAAAGACCCTTTTGTTTTAGTTTAATCCGTATTTTATTATTTTCTGGTGACATTACAAAATATATTATCCAGAATTTTTGACTGCAAAAGACTTTCGGTCTCTGCTATTTCTTTGTCTTTACTAATTAACAAGGAAACTTTCCCTTCCTTATCTTTGATATAATATCAGGGTAATCCTAAAATATTCTGGTGTAATCTTGAGAAAAAAAGTTGATCCTCTAAAATGAGTAGTTTTGTTACAATTTGTATACCAATGGTTCCGAATCCTTCAAGACTTATTAAAAAATATACACTTAGCTATCTCAATATACAACACTTAGTGTCACTGGTAGAAGAACACTCCAAAATCTGTTCATCCACGACGAGATTTTTTTTCTTAATCTACCAACGGAATCCAAACAGAATCCTAAAACTGAATCACTCTTTTTTACAAGAAAACGTGCTAATGTGGAAGCATTTGGCTTGAACGCTCTCGTGATTTCTTGTTGAAAACTTTTAAAGAAAACTCAGGTGATACCTTGTTAATATAATATCTTCTTATAAGTCAGTCTAAGAAGAAACTTCACTGAATCAAGGATTAAAAACTTTTCTTACCTTAAAACAAAAATTTTCCGGTTTTCCCTTAATTCAGTGCTACGAGGCCCTTCGAGAAATGTAAAAAAAATCAAGGACCATCAACAGCACGACATATTTGCTACAATCATTCATCATAACAATCGTTGTCATTTTTAAAACTTAAATTAACCTACTTACTTAAAATAATTGTAATTTTAAAAGGATATACTGAAAGCTGTCAGTAAACTTAAAAAATAAAATTAAGGAGACAACATATGAAGAAAATAGAAACAAATTCTGCCCAAAACGCCCACAACGTCCTCTTAGCTAACATAAAAATGAAAAAAAAATCAAATTTCTCAACAAAAAAAACCAACACAGAGTGTGCATTTACATTGTTATAAAAGACTTTTGTCATATATTCAGTATGTGACATAAAAAGACAATGTGGCGTGTATAATGTTCAACCGCATAGAAACCAGGTGATGGTTCCAACAGAAGCGGACCATAAAGAGGAAGAATTTATATAGCAGGATGACAGTTTGAATGAACGAGAAGGAACGATTTGTCTAAAAAACGCCTTTTCTTAACTTTTTATAACCCTAATAATTTCTAACATATGTATTATTTAATATGTTTCTTGCATTTTTTTTTTAATCTTTCATATCGATTTACATTTTGCTATACTAATAGTGTTTCACTTTGGGCAAAAGGGCAATAACAATGCTGAATAATTACGAAGAGACTTAAAAATTTTATTTAAATAAAGGTTCCCGATGTTTTAAAAAAATAAATAAATATTCATGTAAGACTTTTATGCAAATGACATGTTTTATTTGAGGCGAATAAAGCGAGAGTTTTCTTCCATTATAAAACATGTATTTCAACATTGCTTAACCATACAATTCATAAAATATCTTTCTTAAAAGGTCCCAAGAGAACAAACATTAATTTATTATTATTTAATTTTGTTTTTAAGTATTTTTATTTATAAAAAATTAATATTTTGTTTTTAAATACTGACTTTCTCATTCACACACTACATACACATTCACATTACATACAATACATTATTTACAATATTTACACACTAAAGTTGGGAAACACATTTTCCTTAACAATCGGGACAGGGGACCCATAACATACACTCATGCCCAAGGACTGCATTTATATCGGATTCCATGGCTACTAGCTACCTTTAAGAGACAATGTCTTGCACTCCTCTACTATGTGAGAAACACTGAGAAAACTCTACAAGCGGGACAGTCCGTATATCAGTCGTGTATGGCCTATCATCAAACGGAGCACGATCTCTTGTTTGAATTTTTGACCATTTATTTCATTTTCTACATGTTCTCATTATATGATGAATTACATTTTAAAGTAAATCAAAATAAATCATGCAGGATATCAGAATTATTTAAAATGACACATCATACCTTTGGATCTGCACCCAGCCCGAATCGGTATAGGAGTATTGACTATGTTTGTAAGATGTTAACTCGAATAGAGAAATGTCCAATAAGATCGTGAACGCCCCCTTCTTTTCTTAGCAGTGAAACGTTAATTTTTCAGCAATGCTGCGCGTGGCGATTGGAAGAACAAAAAATAAAGCTATAACAGTCTTTGAAGGCTTGTTGTTGTTTTGGTTTTCTTTTGTCTTAAATTGTAAGATGCCAGAAGTTAATAAAAAAGGAAAATTAATCAACTATTTCATTCAAAGACTACCTATGTACTCGAAAAGTACTGACAAATGACACCTTCAATTCGTGCAGGCATACCTAACTTATAACCTAACTTCTAACAGCCTAAAACTTTATAAAATAGGGGATATATCTATTATGAATGAGAGTAGAAGGACAGGTCAGAAATTAACAAAAGAAATGTATTGGTCTGATTTAATTAATGAGTATATAAGAATAAAAATACGTGTAAACAAAAAACAGGTGTTAAATTCATGGCTGCCATGTTGGATAACGACGCCCTAAAGGATAGCAATGTGACTACATTTTCGACTTAACATCTAACATTGGCCCTAGCCTGTTAGATCGAGCAATGTTAACTAGTCGATTCTTACAAGTCTACGTCATCATTTTTCTCGATATAACAGGATCTAGCAGAGTTAACAGGGTTAACACAAAGATCGTGATACCCTTATTGTTTCCGTGCACTGTGAGGGCATGTCATCTTGTGCTCGTTTCATCTTGAAGTTTAACCTATATTAATTAACGTAGGGAAAACATTTCTGGTAATGGCTCAAGTAGAATCGTTCATCCATAGAACGTCTGTTTAGGTTACTTACTAAAAAGGAGACAGAGAGCTTTCCATAACTTGCACCGACCTTATTTAGTTTCTCTAGCTGGTCCGCTATTCGTTCCCGAGTGTACCAACATTGACTAATGGCGATCAGATTCCATCGTAATTTTTGAAAATTGCAACTTACAAGTTTTTATTTTTAGGTTTTTAGTTATCTGCCATTATAATTGCTTGCCATTCACGAGCTGTACAGATGACTAAGAAAACAGTCATGTTGTTTAAACAGTGTTCGTCAAATGTAAATTACTAGTTTTTAACTTATCTCGATACGATGAGCATTCTACTCCGTTCTTTGATTTACTTCCAACCGTGTAAATGGCGAAAACGTAATTTTTAAAAAATAATTTTAGGAGGGAAAATCTACCTAATGGGTCCATTTGTGAGGAAGTAAATTGTTACGGCTAGGCTATTCAATAACGATCTCATATGCGTTTGTGTTGTTTGAAGTTTATTTGTTGATAGTTTCTTTCAATTTCAAGTTTTTACGTTTGTTTATAGACATACTGCTTCGTATGAAACAGCTCCTTTGTACAGGATTTCAAGTGTTTCACTTTTAAAACCAAATTGGACCTTAGCTGGATGATGTGGATAGGACGTTGACCAATTTAGACCATTTTTCTATATTGGGTATTTTTGGCCCCCTTACAGATTCTAAATATTTTTGCACTTCTTATTTTCTTTAATTGTTTCGCCCAGACTTTGTCCGTATTATTTTATTAATTTTTCTAGCGGATAACTGTTGTAGAGCGAAAAGCAGCGAGAACGGGTGGACCTTGATGGACATTAAAAGTTTCTTCTGGTTTGCTTCTTCTATATCAGACAAAAATGTTAAAGGGTGATTATTATCAATTTCTTGGCTTTTTTTAGGATTACCCTAAATATTAATAAATATGCATTTGCGTTTTTTAATTTTTTATTATTTAACAGTCCAGATTTATACTGATTTTTTAGTCTGTTGTACGGATTTTACCACTCTTAAGTTTTTTTGTCAGCTATTTCTTGATCGTAGAAAATTATAGTTTGCCTATTCTTTTTGCTTGGTTAAAAATTCTAAATTTTTTTTATTTAAATGTATATATTTATTTGCTTTTGTCAGCGGATAAAAATACAGCGAGTACAAGCGGTCCGTTCAATGAAAGCGTCAATTTAATTTTTTCTTCGACGCTGCCACCCCTTTTTGAATTATTTGAGACATAAATGTTTTACAACAGATTCATATATATTTTTATTTTTTCAGTTTTCACCTGGTTCACGATGTGGATAGATCGAATTTGGCCGGGTATTTAGGTTAATGAGCCCGATGTTGTCTTTGGTATGCACCTGAGGTATAATTCAACGGGGGTTAACCAGTGTTTGTCCTCATTTTTTCCTACTGCTTATTACTATTTATGATGTTTATGATTTGAAGGCTGATTTCTATATAATTAACATCACGATGTTGATGTTTCGGTTTAAGCTTTTAATCCGAAACTATTAAAGCCGTCGGTAAAAGTCAAGTTTAAGCATTTACAATTTTTGTACGCACCCTTTAAAGTTGCATCTAATTTTTTTTCACGAAAAAAGAAAAATAGGCTATTTTCCGTTGCGAATTCGTGGCAGAAAAGCTGGTACCAAAGAGATTCTATTTCTGGTCGTTGAAAACTTTCTAGACTGATTCACAAATGCATTTCCATTGTAATAAAACGTTTTATTTCATATCGCAGCTCATTCCCACTCACTCTGTGTAAAAATGGTTTCGGTGAATTCAGGACGGACTCCAGAAAGGTCGACCAATTAATGATATATAATTATATTTTTTTAAAGTCTCACATGCGACGGAAACGATGCAGAGATAACATAGATACACGTTATACCGGCTAATCATGTCGTTGAAAAGAATCTCAATAAAGAATAAAACAAAAATAAAATTAAGAAGCCTATGAGAGAAATAAGGAAAACTGACAGTTTAAAAAAATACCAGTTTCTTTGTTATAGTGATGTGCTGTTTAGTTAAGTGTTTTATTTTACCTTTCGATATCCTGGCCCAACCATTCCATAGGTGTTAGTTCCTACGTGTTCGTTAAATATGTAGATTTACACCTGCCTCGTTGTGTTATCTTTATGTAATATAAACGTGTACAAATTATATAAATATTATTATAAATATTATAAATATTTAATGGAAGTCATTTTACTTTTCCCCTCTTTCAATTTCATATAGCTTTCCGGATGACTTGGCTTCGCAAATCAAATCAAGGTATAATAGTACACATGACAATTAAAAATATGCAACACATACAGACATTTTATATATTAATTTAAGTGTGTGGTGATTAGTGACCGTTAATCGATAATTATTCAGAAATCGTGAGATGCG